TAACCATGGCGGGCCGCCATGGTAAAACCCCTTGTGGAGAACAAAAATTTCAAACAAATGAGGATTCACTTATTTTTACAATTAGACTTCTATGATGTTGTGACCACCATCAATGACTGATGATTGTTACTCAGATGATTCATTTGCATTACTTGAAATACTATCAAAAATGATCAATATTTGTACATCTGGTAGGCTTATTATTTTTAACATTTTCAGTAAATCTCTCAGCAGGTCACACATGAGAAATTTGTCTTTTGAACAGTAAACTATTTCAATTTAAAATCTATCACTTGATTGTTAAACAGCTGTTATATTATTATAGACAGTACTTTTAAAACCAATACATTTTCCCTATACATATCATCATTATGCATATGAATAAGGGTTGTGCTATGACTTTGTAAGATGTATATGTACTCTAGTTACAGACAATCTATTTAAATTGTTCTTATGATTCTTCATAATTTCTAATTTTATCTGCCAAATAAAGGCGGCTTACAATAGTCAGAATTCTCTCTTTTAACTGTTTAAATTTCCATCGATGATGATGTCCTTCGTGAATAATCTGATAAGTTGAGATTGCGGCCACTTTTTGTTTAAATATTGATGACTTAATCGTAATTTAGTAGGAGAAATAATTCATTTTTACCCTGTCGTTACATCATAAAAAGTTCCAGAAGTCCAAAAGTACAACAAGTTGCATTTCGAGAACACATGTATTCAAACCGGATATAAGTTTGTCTGTATTAACAAAGAAACCATATTCGGTACAAACATTATTATCCGACTTAACAACGAAAAAAAATTTCATACACTTTTCATTTATTTATAGAGAGAGAGAACTATTTTAGTAATTGAGCATTCATTTTCATTAAAAAAAAATCTACAAAGGCGAAACGTTAACATACAACATACAGCATGGAAAAAGACAAATGTGGTGCCATAGGGCTTAACTATACAAAGTCTACTGATCTATACATCAATGATTGAACATAAAACACTAAATATTGTATAATTCAAGTTTCTCTTTCCGTTTTTTCAATGTGTAAACTAACATATTTAAAACTTTGATATCAAACTTTTCAAAATGGCGTCAAAACTAATGTGGTCTTCGATGGGAAAGATTTGTTCTGCCCAATATTAGTATTATTTACCGTAAAAAGTATATAAAAATATACGTACACTAGTCCTTGGTTGTTGATCATTGCATTTTTCTTAGTTTTAAAGACACTGGGTAGCGAAAACATCGTTAACTTTTCACATTTGCACCTTACACCCGAGTCCATCTCCGTCTTGCTCAACTCCAAAAATATGGCGCCTCGTGAAAATTGACCAATGAAAATTAAAGCCTCTGTAGAGCGATGCATTATGGGAAACGGAACCTGTTTACGTTAATTATGTTAGAGGGTAATAAAAGTTTATATAAATAATATAATTTCCCTATTACGGTGATTATGAGTTCATATCCTCAGTGAAGTTCTTCACTAATCATAGAAAGGGGGTGTTCCTCAATAAATTTGCTGATAATTAGTATACTATAGAAAACAAAGAGGTTTTCTGAGGGTGACCAGAGACACTTCATGTTTCTGGTGTGACCCCTCAAATTATTTGACTGGGGGGGGGGGGGGCTTGGTACGTAGTACCCATCCAAACAGAAAATGTCCGGTTATCCCCCCACTACTTTTTCAATAAATTATTCATTATTCTGATTAATGTATAATGTCACAAAGAAAGATGTTAAACCTTTATACATGTATACATGTTTTAAAATTTGAAGCGTCAGAAAATGAATATTAGTTGAGGACCGTAGGAAATAGGGAGGGGGGGGGGCATAGTGGACATGCCATACGTCCCTAAACATATTTTTTGCAGTATAGAAAACAAAGCTTATTTTCTGTTGCGCCCCTCAAAATAAACGTTTGATGACTCTTTATCAGCTGTTTATTATTTTGAGAAAAGAATGTTGTCCTTTGAAGTCTGCCGTAAATTTCGATATTTGGCATGCAAATGAACTACATGACATGTATACAGAACAGTATTTTATTTTTAGTGATGATGGAAAAGTTCGGTGTCAAAAATTGCTAGCTAGTAGAAGGAATCAGGGTATGTTAGACTAGTATAGACTTGTGAAAATCAAGACAAAATAATTTAATTACCAGCAAGGACGGTTCCAAAATAATAAAGATTTGATTTTTTTTCTCTTGTTCGGCTTTAGATACTTTTTTGAACCCCCTCCTTTTTTGGTTTCGATTTTAGCCTGATATCAATAATAATCAGTGGACGAAATTGCTGGACTTTTTTTCTATTTGCTATATTTTACTTCAAACATCTTTGCCTTTAGTTAAGATAATTCTCACCGTTATAATGTATCAGAATTTTTCACATTAAATCTGAAAATTGATTTATAAAAAAAGGAGAGTAAACACAAGGTGAAAAAAACGAAGGTAGGGAAAACAGTATTTTAATTTGGAAAACACCGGCCCGTAGAATGCGGGGGGGGGGGGGTGAAAGTAAATGGTTATGCTCTTCTTCTTCTTTTTTTTTTTTTTTGTTTTGGCTTGTCAGATTTTTATGGAAGCCCCCTCCCACTTTTGAAACTGTTGCTACTGACCTGAAAAACATAATTAAAAGAAAAACATAATTAAAATAAGCTCAGAATTATTGTAGGTAACCTACAATCATGTCCATTGGGTCCTGAATTTTAGTCGTGACTGGTAACAATTTGTCAATATTTGATCATCTGATTTGTTGGAAAATAATGCCCGGTGTATACTCGTTGATGTGCAGGGCTGTATATATATATATATATACGTGGCTTTAACCAATCAGCCAGTACCGCCCTGTATCTTTCATATATAACTTTTTTCTGGTAATTTCTGGTAAGGTTTGCTAGTTAAGAACTTTCTGGTAAAGTTTGTGCTCCAAACTGAAATTATACAGGCCTGTGGTTTGAGTAGACAGTTTTCAGTGCAGTTTTTTTTTTTTTAAATAAGTAATGGTACATGTAGGGGTATAAAATTCAAGAAATGGACGGCAAATATATAAAGAAATGTTTGTACATGTAGAAGTATGGACAATCACCACATCAGTATATATTATACCTAAATATCGAAAGAAACTATTTTCTCTCCATTTTTTGAAGGAGGGGAGGGGGCTTAAATTTGAAAGGGGTAACCTTCTGTTTAACATAATACACGATTTAAAAATATTAAGTTTTCGCTAAGCATCTACGTGTAAAACAATTAATAAATTATTGTTTTTTTTTTATTCAATGAATTGCCTTAGCACGCAGTTCTTCTTCAGATGTTGTTCTTAAGGAAAAGAAAACCATGTTATATAAATATCATAGACTTTTCTTTATTTAGAGCCAGCATTGGTCTTTGTGTACAAAATGGCTAAATTAAATATACGTGCATGTATGCATTTAAGACCAACATTATTGCAATTCCCTGCGAAAAATGAAGACATTTACTACATCAGGGTCTGTGTACAGATATAAATAATAAAAAAAAAGTTATTTAGTTAACATTCATTAATTTTGTATATGAATATTATTCTGCTGTATTATCAATGTCTTTGTAGAGGACTATATACGAATTTCACACAAAACATTAGTAATTTAGTTCTTATTGTATAATAGATCTATCTGCATCCTTTCTCATAAACAATTTGCGAATTAAGCAGGCAACAAAGTTGATAATTAATAATTCTTTCTATGTTTTCAATATTCAAAGTTTACATTGATGTCAAACAAGGACGATTCGTTATTTATCGATTAAGAAATTTTATTTCATTTATCTATGCACTTACAAATTTGTTTGAAAAAGAATTATGATTTAACACATAACGAGAATTTTGATTTATTCTAGACCGATAGAAAAGTATATATAATTTTTAAACGGTTAGGAAATTTTGTTTTTTAATCAGTAATGAAAAATTAAAATACAATTCTTTTTTTTCTTCTCTCATTGAACATCTTAAAATTAATGTAGCTTATTTTATCAATATTCTGTGGTCTTATTGATAATTTAAATTATTTTTTTTTTTAAATCAAATCAATGGCCAGCAATTATCACCTAAATTTAAACTGAGTTTGTGGAGACTATGTGTATGTACATGCTTGACCACAGCCCATTGTTCCCCTTAGGTAGAAAACCCTCTCAAATCACATAGAATATACAAAAAATACACAGTCGCAGGTGTCTTCGCGACACGTGTCTCCACCTGTGGCACGTGAGAACAGGTGCCCGCGATTACAAGGGTTAGCGCAATGATTGAATTTTATCTGAATAGTTTACACTGATTTTTCTAAAATTAAAAGTTGTATTAAATCTTCTCTTACTACTAATTCCAATTCCAAGTCTTTATGTGTTTTACCGAGACTAAAATGTTAAAAAAAAAATTTTATTTGTCACAGAATGTTCAATTTTTATTACACAGAATTACACAAACAGTTTTTTATTATTATTATTCTTTTGATACACGTTTCCAAAATGTCTATTATCGGGAAAATAGGTGTAAACCACAGCATACGTGTTTTCCATATCTGGAAAACATGCAGGAAACTACAGGTTGATTCTTCCATATCGGGAATATACGTGGAAACCACTACTGCATGTTTCCGCGGTTTCCCATATTGGGAAACTTACGGGAAACCACAGGTTGATTGTTTCTATATTGGGAATCTACGTGGAAACCACTACTGCATGTTTCCACGGTTTCCCATATTGGGAAACTTACGGGAAACCACAGATTGATTTTTTCCATATCGGGAATCTACGTGGAAACCATTATGTGGTTTCCATAAAATGGAAACTATATGGAAACTACTGATGTCACGATTCCAATATGTTTCCGTCGGGTTTCCAAATTTGGGAAACCTGGCTTTTCATCCTGTGAAGACTTCTTTATATCAAAATGCACCTGTCCAGTCTGACAAGTGCCCATCAATATTCACTTGTCCGTAATTTTTTTTCACTGGTACCGGACAAGCGTTAATGTCGAGCCCTGATATGTCACCAGGAAGATTTACTATCCAGTATGCTACCAAATTAGCCCAGTCTTTAAAACGAAAGCGGTTACGTCAAGCCCAACAAAGTGCAAAGCGAAGACGCCTTGAACTTAAAAGTGAGAGACTGTCGAAAGACGCTTCTCAGATGGTGCTTGAAGGTAAATAGAATATTTCACTTTTAAGCAGTAGAGTAAGACTTGGGAATTTGTTTAGGCTGAGCTTCTGTATTTAAATTTACTTAACAAATTTTTAGGTGCAACATACAGTTCCAACATTGGATTTGATGAGGCTACTGACATAGAAGACATCAGTTTTGCTACAGAGGATATATCTTTAGACAACAGTCCCTTGATAGTTTCTGATCTCGAAACAACTGGATTAAGTTAGTTTTGTAACTAAATATATTGAGTATTGAAAATTGATATTCAACCATTAGGAGACATGTTATACATGTCTAGTAACATGTTTCATATTTTTACTTGCATGTATATTGTAGCTAGTACATCAGATTTCCTTCAGATTGCATGTGTTTGTGGGGAGAATAAGTTTAATGTCTACACAAAACCAATTTTTAGTATTAGTATCGGTGCTTCGGCTGCCACAGGTTTGACCTACGTTGGAGGAGTAATGAGGCTGAATGGCAATTCTGTTGATTCAACAACAATAGTGGACGGCCTTGGCAAGTTTTTGAAGTTTGTTCATTTTTACCCTAATGCAGCTCTAATAGGACACAATATACAATATTTCGATATCCCTGTCCTTATCCACCAGCTGTCCAAACATAATCTTTTTCAAAGGTTTCAGGCATCTATATCTGGATTTGTTGACACTCTGAAGTTATCAAAAAGGATTTATCCAAAGGCTGAGTTTGGTAATAGACAAGAAAATCTTCTTGAGGAACTTATGGGAGAAACATACAGTGCCCATAATGCAGTCACAGATGTTGAAGTTCTTCATTCCATTATATTAGTGAAGATATTTTCAGATTATCTTTTTACAGCTGTAAATCATCTTTAGAGCCTCTTGTAAAGTCGAAAATTATTTTTTTCCGTTGCCACTATGAAAAAGTTAATGGGACTCTCGTTGGATTTAGCAAAACTGAAAGTAATACATAAGCGTGATCCAAATAACGGTATTCGAAAAAATGTCTTTACTGACACAATAGCCAATTCAAAGAGATTCAGAATATCGAAATCTAAAACTGTCATTGAAAAGGTTGTGCAGTATCTTTCAAATATGTAAAATACTTTCAGACATATTGTTCAAAACATACAGTCAAACAAACTTCATTATCTCGAACTTATGGGCCCGCGAAAAAATTCTAGATATCTGAGGATTCGAGATATGGAGGGTAAAAAACTTAAAAATTAAAGGGTAAATTGGGACTTCCAAATCACGGGGACAAATCCATTCTATACGGGATACTGGTGTTCGAGATACCCAATTTCAACTGTAGCTAACAATTTCCTTGCTTGTTAGCAGTTATGCTTTGATCAAGCTGTTCAATATATATGTGATAGTTTTACAATGATCTAAATAAATGTTCATGGTCCTTTGGATTGATGGAATTATGTTTTTGAAGGGGCTGACATAGCTCTCCCGTATGTCTCAGAAGGTTCTGTCTAGAAATACCAATGCCTTGTCTTGCAGCTTCCTTTAGAGTTGTGACAATTTTTTTACTACAACTTCAGGCAGAGCTGGTTTTCTTCTCATTTTCGCTTCTTTATCAGATTTTCAAGAGGTTTCATTTTCTAGAGTTGAATTTGCGATGTGAAACTTTTTTTTCTGCTGATCTATATGACATAGAACCATTTTTTATGGCATATACTGCTTTTTGAAAGGTTTCTTCTAGTATTTTTTTTTTAATTCCATTGCGTATTTGCAAGATGTTTTCTTGTTTTATCAGTCGAAATGTGATCATTTTCATCGTAAACTTGACACTTTCGATTGATTGAGAGAAAATAAAAGCAAGCAAAAGAAGGGAGAGTGAGAACGAATTCATCTTTCATAACTAGGGCAGTTGTTTTAACGATTGATTGCATGTTGTTTTACGTTCGAAAATGTTTCACTCATATAGAGACGTCACCATATACCGGTGAAGGGCTTCAAATTTAGACCTTTACTCCGCACTGAAGGCCATTGAGCAGTGAGGGTTCTTTATGGTGCCAACACCTGCCGATACGGGTTTCTAAGCTCTCATTCGAAGGACCCGCAATTTTCACTTTAAAGTGCCGAGCGCTTGGCGAAGGAACAGTCGCTACCTATTTTTTATCGACTTGGGTCAGTCGCGGCCGAGTTGCGAACTCACGACCTTACAATCACGGTTGTTTTAATGAAATCATATACTTATATCCTAGTTTTACTTTCACACAGAGTCCAAAACTGTCAATATGACACTTTTCTTGACATACGATACGTACATGCTGTGCAGTATTACACGGCTTTTAATCCCCCCCCCCCAAAAAAAAAAACAAGGTATTGTGTTAGTATTTTATATAAATTAATCGATTCTAATCATTGACATTGTCTTGATATTCACTTACTCATGTATAACATCACCACCAATACCCTCCCCTCCCCCTCTCTCTCTATATATCACTGATTGACAATAGAGCTCAATCATGTCACTGCCTAGTATTGACGAAATTGTATTTTTCTTTCAGCTAAAGGATAGGTAAATTTTTACTCCGGAATTTATCAGAATCAAACTACATGTATTTCATACTTGGGGTTGAAAATATATTGATATCCCGTTTATCATGCTAATAGACATATGGGATGTGTCTTTATAGTTGATCACCTCTTACTGTCATATGCGACAAAAATAAACAATTTTAGTGTGTATTAACTAACAAAATGAAATTTACCTCAGAAACTTGGAAAAATGCACATTTTTACCTCAAAATAAGAACAGACCTCATCTCCTCTTTACATGATTGACAAAGATTTGAAATCTGAGTAAATTATTGAAGAGACAGATTTTACAATCTTATTTTACAGACACCTGTGTCTAACATATTTGATGCAAATTTCTCCCGATGAGCTGAACGCTTATAGATTTATATCTACATGATCTATGTAAGAAGTTCTGAATAATTGTTCTCTCCCATTTACGTAACAGAACATTTTAAACCTGAATTAAATGGATGAATATATATATATATATATATATATATATATATATATATATATATATATATATATATATATATGTGTGTGTGTGTGTGTGTGTGTGTGTGTGTGTGTGTGTGTGTGTGTGTGTGTGTGATCTATTATTAGATTCTTTAAAAATATTGGTATACATGTATATGCAGTATCGTGTTGTTGGACATAATCTGGTACATTTATTTGTAGATTCAGTAAGTGCTGCCGGCAAACAAACATCTTAAATTAAAAGCGAACAAAAGTAGTATTTCCTGAGATTCACTCCAGAATACCCCTTACTTAGCCAATGCTGTAGCACGGTTATTTTTTACACAAATACCGAGTATTTATCGAATTCAAAGAAATAGTACTTAAAAAGGTCATAAAAACATCTAATCATAAATATGTTAGTGTGTATAAAATAAAATGCCGCCAAGAATACTTTCGTTGTTCCTTCAATGCATTAATAATTTAGTTACATTTATGACTCAAAAATGCATATACACGTATATATATATATATTTGTGGTATCTCTCTATTATATAAACATGCAGAGAGCAAATATCTTCATACCTGTATGAAGTTTTTCGAAGGTCATAGGTCATTACGTGACCTAATCACATAGCGCAGTAATATCTACATAAAAAGACTTACTCCACTAAGCAATATAGCATGTTTTTCATGCATAAAAATGTACAAAATACGCAAGTAAAATAATTATCATTTTATTTACAATGTAAACGTTTTCCATTCACATTTCAAACAATTACCAAACATGTGAGGTATGGATATTCCAATAGATGGTTTTCCTTTGACGTATTTTGCCTTGAAGTTATTCCCCTTGGCCGCCATCTTGTAGGTTAAAGTAGTGAATTTTCATCTTTGAGCAACCAATTTTAAACATGCATGCCAGAAATATATGGTAAAAAATATTTACAATATTGAAATTATGAATTAAAAGAAGCTTTAACAAACGTATATTCATAAGAAAAACAGTGTTATCTTTACCTCAGTGACAGTATAACAAATTGAACTTGGTTGAATAATGGAGGGATCTGGGGATGTTGACCTACAATTGGCGGCCATGGGGAATAACTCTTGCTTAAATCACCTAGATGAAAAACCATCTATATCTTATTTTTCAACGTTTTTAAACATAGTTTATTTATTTTGGTTTATTAAAGTTACATTATTATTAAAAGTACATTAATAAAATTATGAAAAATATGTATTGCCAAATAATGACAGAAATTGGGTCCATATAGATACTGTATAATTACTTCACTCGCCCGGGTGTTAAGATGATGGACTTGCGAGGTTGAGTTGATCCGTTCTTCGCGGACTTGATTCCCACTGCGAGACGTGTAGACCTATCCTTCGGATGAGATCTTAAAACCAAGATCACGTGTTGCAGTAAAGAGAATGACACGAAACACATCTCTCGCTGCTCAATGGCATTTGTGCCGATTCACACCCCTACCCTCAGCGCATCGGCAATTGGTGCCATCTCAACACTCTTAAGTTAAATATTTTGAAGGGACGTAAATCAAAATAAAAAAATTATTTTTTTTATTGCAGGATTTCATCTTTGATAGATTTTGAACTATTTCAACAAATTATTTTTTCGCGCCAATTACCTTTTGTTTTAACATCAATTTAACTCCAAATAGACTTGTGAACTTGAGAGCTCGTAAGCATTGATGTAGTAAGAATAATAGGTTTTGATTTTCAAAATCCATTCATGAGAATTTAAAACGCTCTGGATATATAGACTCCTGCCTCTTTTTCACTTGCATGTACATTTTTTTTTTTTGTAAACCGCATATTTCAGCTTTTGTACATAAATAACAATGAAATTATTAAAATGAAGTTGAAAGTAAATGTACATAACTATAGTAGAACAAATCTTAAAATAGTGTATGAATACCGTCTCTTGATGGGATTATTCCAGACAAGCAACATATCTACTTAGCACCGAGCACCAGTGATTAGATATCGGATAGGTATAAACTGAATGGTCAAAGTTTATGACCATGTCGTCCAATTTAACACCCATCACAAGAACTACATTCCCATAAAAAGTCCAGAAGAAGAGATCTAAACAGACACACAGTGGAGAAACCATGGTGACAGAAAGGTAAATATTATACTACTAACGTTCAAGTGTTTATGGAATAATTTCCTTTCAATTTTTATAACCTCGCTGTACACTTCAAGAGGAGCGCGGACTGATTTGACTGGCA